ATTGTAAGTATATATACAGTATACCCATACAACGAAATTCACAGACACCCAGAGACCAGACACATGCACACACATAAAATTCCCCAAACACTCCCCACCCACTAAAAAATCCCCCACTAAAAATACAAACATCTACACCGCAGGCCACGTAACACAGTCCAACTAATTATTCACTACTGTTGGTCTTTAAGCTCATTATTAATTGCAATTATAGCTCTGGGATAAAAACTATTGAGAAAACGTGTGGTCCGAGTCTTAATTGTTTTATATCTTCTGCCAGATGGTAACAGTTCAAAAAAGTTATAAGCAGGATGGGAAGAGTCTCTCAGGATGCTGTGTGACTTCCTTAGACAGTGGGATGTGAAGATGTCATCCAGGGTTGGTAGCTGGAGCCCAATGATATTCTGGGCAATTTTAATGGTTCTCTGTAGAGCTTTTTTGTCCGCTACAGAGCTACTCCCAAACCATGCCAGAATGCCATAGGTTAGGACACTCTCAATGGTGCTACGACAGTATGACAGAAGTAAATGCTGAGATAAATTTAACTTGCCGAGCATTCTCAGGAAATAGAGCCTCTTCTGTGCCTTTTTCATTAGCACGTCGGCATTTATAGTCCATGAGAGGTCCTCTGAGATGTAAGTACCCAGAAATTTAAAACTACCAACTCTCTCCACTTCCTCACCGTTTATGTACAGTGGTAAATGTACATTTCTCTTCCTCCTAAAATCAATTATGAGTTCTTTAGTTTTTTTGATGTTAAGTTTGAGATGATTTTCTTTACACCAAAGTATCAACCTTTGTACTTCCTTTCTATAAGCAGACTCATTGTTCTTATTTATGAGCCCCACCACTGTCGTATCATCCGCAAATTTAATGAAAAATTGACACTTACTTAATTATTACATTTTTACCATCCCATAGTCAACAGTCACACTCTGGACGGTGTACAAAAAGCCACAATATCAAACAACAACAATAATAAAAGGGACAAATATTAGTGAACAGAAAAGATATACTTATAGAAAGATGATACAATTACAGGAAATGGTACCTGGTATATATTTTTTGCATTTTACAGCTTCTTTCTGTGGAACACAATAATTTTTTTAGAGCTTCTCGTTGTTGTGTGGAACTTACACCAGGAATGACAAATTATTTTATTGCTAAAACAATTCTAAAGTATTGCTGGAAACAGAATATTAAATGTATTGAATGCTTCTATATCCAAAAGCTAATATGAAATGTTTATGTTAAGAACAAGTTATTTCTGTCCTCACCAGGGGTACACTTTTACTTTGGTTCAGACTGGTTTTTGGTTGAAGCTAAACCTTTAATCTATAGTAAAATTGCATGAAGTATGTGAAACCAAGTCTCAGCATTCAGATCTGTAATGAGAGAAAATGAGGATTAGTCATTTTTAATAGCCACACAGGAGGGACGGTAGATTCTGTAGTGTAATCTCACTAATTGGTCTACTGTAGACATACAGTAATACAGTTTAATATAACAGCAAGTTACACCTCATACAGAATGCTTTCTATCCCAGAGCTTGAAATGATAGTTTGGAAAATCAGCTTGTATTAATATTGAAAAATGAAAATGTTTTAACTAATTACAGTAAGTCAATTTTATGAATGCATTAATTAAAATGGAGAAGGTATGTGTCATATTCCTATCCCAAAGGGAAATTGTTTTAATGAACATGAAAATGAGGAACAAAACTTCTCTTGATGCAAGTGGCACTTTTTTCATTTTGCAAAAACTGTACTATAAAACTGGCCAGAAAGACCTGTATTCAGAATGTAGGAGCATAGCTGTCTGTATTGGCCAACTCAGTGGCAGACCAGCACAGTTTCTACAGTAAGAACATTTTCACCAATATTTTCAGGGGTGTTTTTTTCCTTTGTTCCAAGAGGCAGTTTTGACATGGGCAGTTCAATGGGCCTTTAACAATTGGCTACAATAAATCTTCTCTGTACTAGAGAGGCTGCTGACTTGCAATACTTCTTTGAATAACTTTACTTTCCAAAAGTATTCATGGGAGACTGAAGCTACTACAGTACTTCTTTTAAGCTTTGCCCAAAACTGAAAAGAAGTTTTAGACAGTGGTTTTGAACTGACTTGGGCACAATAAGAATTAGCCTGGGTGACCTTAGTATCTGGCTTGAGTGGGATAGGAAGATCTCTGAAGTCAATTTGTTTAGGTTAATTGTTTCACTTAGAAATAGTTCTTATAATGGTTTGCTACAGAATGAATATAGTTGCCTGGTCTTTTTATAGAATCCTAGGGTGTTGATAGGTTTAAACTATAAGTTTTAAAAGGTCTGAGAAAAGCTGTAGGTTCTTGGACTTTTAAAGGTTGAAGCCATCAGATGAATTATTTCCATGCTTTGCTCTGTTTTATCAGCTATAATATGGCACTTTTCAACTGTAAGGTAAAATAATAATGAATAGCCTTTTTTGAAACCTCATTGAAAACTATTATACAACTTAGATTAATACTACTGTATATTGCCTTGCCATTGACTTGAGGATAGTGTAATGATCAGGGTGCTGGGCTTGGAAAATGGAGATCTGAGATGAAGTCCTGAGCTGTGGAGAAGGACTCTACAAGATGAAGAGATTTCTTGGGAGACTGTGATTTCCTTGAGAGGAAGTAGTTGAGTGCCATGTGATACTGCAGCAAGTAAGGTTTGCCATTTGTCTCTTTTTAAATTTAAACTCTTAGAATTCTCCAGTAATTCCCAAGGCAGTGGTCTGGGGCTTCCATCTAGTCCATAAACACACCTGCAGACACGTTCATTTCACTCACCTGAAGAAGGCTGAGGCCTCTGTCTAGGTCAGTGGTCGGGGAACAGGGGTAAATTACCCCAAATGGGGTAAAGGTAAAAATCCTGGGGGTAATGAGCAGAGTGCTACCCCCTCCCTCCCACCCCCACCCTCTGCAGCCAAATCTCAAATTGTAAGCCACCTCTCCCTGTTACTTCCTGGTTGCAGCAGGCACTTGTAAATCCTCCATTAGTTGAGAGATTGGGAGATAAGCTCCTTGATTGGTTGCAGCTGTGGATTAGCCCCAGGCAATCAATCAATCAATCCGGGGGTTCTGAATGACTGCTTCCTCCGGAAAAGACTGCAAACAAGCAGCAGGAGGGAAAGGAGCAAGCAAGGGTAGGAGGGAAGAAAAGTGCGAGATACCAAGGACTTCATCAAGCTTATTTAAATGTATGTAATTGTAGAAAATGGAGGGAGGGAGGAAATGGAGGGAGTTTGTGTGTGTGTGTGTAAGAGATAGAGTGAGTGAGAAAGAGAGAGAGAGAGAGAGAGACTGACTCAAAACTATGAAAAAGAACTAACAGTTAGCAATTTGATCTCTAGTTCCTCTGCCCCTTCGAAGTCCAGCTTGTACTTGTGGGAGTTCTCGGGTCACATACTGCTGAAGCGTACCTTGTAGGATTTTGAGCATAACCTTGCTAGCGTGTGAAATGAGTGCAATTGTATGGTAGTTGGAGCATTCTTTGGCACTTCC